TTATTTGTTGGCCATAACATTATTCAACGCGAACCCAGATGTGTTCAAAAAATGAATCACCAACATGAAAATGAAAAACCAACTAACCATAGTTAATAGCTATTAACTATTAAGTAACAAACAAAAAACGCGCACACACCGACAATAAGAAAACAGGTGGCGTTATGTAACGAAAGGCAAGAACAGTTATTTACCTCTTACTGAAACACTTTTGTTCTTATTTGGTCCAACACCAACTGCATTGTTTGATACACAAGTGAAAGTGTAGTTTCCATTCTCAGCAAGGTTAACAAAAAACAATCCGTTTCCATTACTACCGTTAAACACGTTATTACGATACAAGGAGTAGACTGGGGCAGGTTTAGCGTCTGAGGTGCAGCTGATGTTTATCGACTCTCCTTTACCGAAGTCCTTCTTGTCAGGTGTAATTTTTATACCTGTATTCTCAGGTTTATCTGAGAAAAATAAATATTTTTTGGATGAGAAATATACCTCTTTTTTTTCTGTTTTGTGGAGAAATCATGATGCTGGTATTTTCTGACTAATGATATTAATGCCAATAAAATCCTACTTACAGTTGACAGTGATGTTAAAAGACTTTGTTTGTGATGAGCAGTTTAGTTTATCTCGCAAGGTCACCTGGTAATAACCCTCATCCATGCGGTTTATTGAACCAAATGTTAATTGTCGTGTATCATTCCTGACAGACAGACTGTCCTTTACTTTGATCCACTGATAGATGTAGTATGATTCATTCCCAGATACGTCACACTGCAGAACTACTTTATCTCCTTCCTTTACGGCTGCTACTGATGTATTCTCGTCATTGATTTTACACAGTGTGGTTATGTCTCCTGCAAGTAAGCAAGTAATTCATGGTCATTTTTAAAATCAACATCGTCATCACCATCTTCGTCATTTTGTTCATCTCAATTCATATTTGTGGACAGGAAAATTAAATTCATCGTTTGGACTAAAGGAAATGAAAGTGGCTATGAAAGAAAAACAAAAATAAGATCACATATCTCGTATAAGAACATTGACACACATGACGAGAGTTACGCACGATAATGACGACAATAGAGGCACACAAAAAACCAGTGTCAGGTTTGGCATGTCTGCTGTGACAAACGGTAGAATACAATTCAAACCTACAATACATGAAATCGTTTGATAAGAAAGAATACATTTTAGATTGCATGCGGAGTGACATTCGCTAATGGCATGGATAAAAGTATGAATACCCACCCGTATCATTTCACTTACCCAGTACGTATGCATCAGAAAAGGCACATTGACCACTTCCTATTACATTCGAAGCAATACAACAAAACTTATTCCATGCAAGTGATCCTGCTGTTGTAGTAAACTGTCCATTACTGTTTGATCCAATGTAAGTATTTCCATTGTACAGCGAGTAGTTCTGGACTGATGGATATGCATCAGCCGTGCAACTGAGTGTAATGTTTGTATTCTCACATACATCCAACTTGGTTGGAGAGAGCAAAGTATTCGTAGGTTTATCTGAAGTGAGATTGTATCAATAGATTAGTAGTGGCAAGGCGTGTATGTTGCACTATTTTCAAAGTTTGCCTTTTTGAAACCAACATATTTGGAAATAAGATTACTATTCTTAATGATCGGAATGATATGCACGGTGGAATTTGAGTAATAAACCCAAAACAATTATAAATGTTAATGGACATGTTCACTTAGATTACGTAATATCTTAGCCATAAATACGGCTGTTAAGCAGAGGTATTGCATTCTTGCTCAGTTTCCCGCCCTCCCTTCGTGCCCTCCGTGCCAGCTTGACTTAGGCCGCTGAATCGAGTTTTTTTCCCATACTTAATTCAACTGGGCATCAAGAGAATATTAAGTACTTCATATTCTCTTGCTGGGCATGAATGCGAGCATTATGAAATAGATTACTTTCTTAATTTAACCACACAATACGATTATGCAATCAATTAATAGTTGATAAAATCCACTTCTATGATAACTCGGTCATTAATGCGGGAATTTAATTCCCTGGTTGATTGACTCCGACGAAGGACTAACGTCCGAAACATCAGTTTCTATTTTCACTACGGTGTTCAACTTATAATTCTACGATAACTTGGTATAAGAAAAACTATGTTGCGTATATCAAATTCCTACTTACATTTAACAAGTAAAGTCAATGACTTTCTGTCTGGATTACCAATTCCGTTGTCAGCAATACAGGTATAGTTTCCTTTGTCATTTATTGCTACATGTTGGAAGACAAGCTTGTTCATTGGACTTGATACTGAACTACTTCCATTGTAATGTACTCCATTCTTCATCCATCTGATGTTTGGTATGGGTTTACCAGTAACATTACACAACAATGTGATGGTTTGGTTCTCCATGGCATTTCCATTTACACAGCCTTGACAAACCAACACAATGATTGTTGGGAGGACTGCATAAATTTTAAAACCAAAAATGTGAGTAAATTTAATAGCACATACGATTAGAGTGGCATACGGTATTTTAAGGTGGCTGCCTACTTTTGAACGTTCGAATTGAGCCCACGATGAGCGCGCGCTCAAAAACCGCTGAAAAATCTACAATATTTTATTGAAGAACCATACGCGTTTTRAGCTTCAACAGGGCAAAACCCTCAAATTTTGCACGGGACTCTATATTTTTTAATAGCTCATTCGAAAAAACTCTCAAAATTCTATGTTATATCAACATTTTAGAAAAAGTTTAAATCAGCAACACATRAAAAAATAGATTTTTGTAGGGATTTTTGTTCGACTTTATGAAATTTTTAAGAGCACCAAAACTACAAAATATAAGAAATTAATTTATCTTTTTGTCTTTTTGTTGAAAATAACCATGTATTATCGTAGAATGATTGACTAGCCTTCACTCGTGCAATCATTTAGTCTACAAATAACGTACTATGATCTTATGGATCTTATTTTTTTCTGATCACTTCCGGTGGCTCAGTTTTTACTCCAAAAGCTCGTGCATAGGCTTCCATTAAATTCTGATTATCTCGAAAACAAGCTCGGGACACCCTATTTTTCTTTCCAGATTTGGAATCAGTATTAAATTTCAATTCGGAAAATCGAAGTTTAAAAAAAAGTTTAAATCAATTTTCAAAAGTAGGCAGTCACCTTAAAGATATGTGAGACAACATTTAGATCCTTAAAATGCGGAGTTAACCGTTCTGGTTTAAAATAAATAGGTGTATATGGAGTATTCTGACAAGTTTAGTTTGCCAGTTATTTCAGTGATATGATTACAGTTAACATTGTAAAAATCTAGTAAAGACATATTTTAGTTATTTAAAAATAACTACATATAACTACCATAACTACATATCGTCATACTCAGAAAATTGCTGCATCGTTTTCCACGCTCCTCTACCAATGCCATGTTTTGCCATTTCTAGGTTTTATAATTTTAAGCCGTTTGTGGGACAATATATATAATTCTATTGAGTGCGATCAACTGCTGCAGTAATTGGCTCAGTATTTATGGTTTTGCGTGAAAGGCATGAATATTTCAGTTTACAATTACTATTAATGCGATTTTTTCTTTATAGACAATAGGCAATAATTGTCACTAAGGCTTTTCGTAAGACATCATCTAATACACGGGCTTGCTTACCAGTTTCTTTCGTTTCACGAAACGTGATGTGTTTTATCGGGTTAAAACAACTCCCCCACGCTCCGATAACTCACTCCTGCTCGCTCATTAATCGTAGTGAGAGATCTGAATATCTAAACACTAAGCAGATCGATAACTTAAACGCCTTTATCAGTCGTCTTGTGTTGTGTTCAATAACATTTGTAAACGAATTTTTACAGAATATAGTATAAGGAAATAGTCTGTGAATAAATATATGAATGTGTTTAAGAATTTCAAGGAGTAATTTTTAAGCACGCATAACGCCAACGCTCTTGTCAGCAGGCCGGAAGTAAGTATCCTAATAATTTCGAGAACGTTATACTGGCTGAAAGCATGCATCTAGACGTAAAGAGGAGAGAGCAACACAAGGAATCTAATAAATCAAAAGTGTAAGTAGGATTAGTCAGAGGATAATCACGAGTTTTCCATGTGGCAGTTTTGATTAAAAAGTACATCAACAGTTAAGATTAAACAGGGTACGTAAGCACAAAAGAAGTGAGTTGAGTGCTTACAGCGCGTCATAAGGGCTTTATTACTGAATGGAGCACGGAAAAAGCTGTTTTATCCCTTTTATTACATAATCACTAATGTTATTTTGGTATTGGATTTATTTACGCAAAAAGAAAAACCGTCGTAGGATGTAGATGATAACTTCGCGCGCGCGGATGGCGTCAGCACTGTGCTCCGTTCTTTAAAAAAACACACAGTTTTCGAACAGTCAGCGCGCGTGTACATCTAAAGTATAAAATAAGTACAAAAATATGTTTTTGCTGTTAGCGTATTAACCTTAGCTTTTTTCTATTAAAATCATGACGGTGCAAGTGAATAAAATGTAATCACAGCACAAGTATTACTATGCAGGTCGGAAATAGTACACTGATTATATGCCAGTAGTCACTTGAATTTGTTTTCTCAGTCAAATATGTGCAAGTCAGAGACTTGAGAGGGGGAGAGGGGGAAAAGGAAGGAGGGAGGGTAACCTACCTCCCTCCCCCCTCTCCCCAGACAGTCGGTTCGCAGGCTAGTCAGAGATCAAATCAAATCTAGTAGGCGGAAGTGAAAAACCAAATATACAGCGTGTAGGTCACGGGACCAGAAAACTATTAATAAGCTTAAATTAATTAAACTAATTGAAATGTAATCTTGGTTTTCCTTAACAAATACTTGCACCTTGACCGTATCCACCAAAGTAGGTATCAAATGATTCTGTACATCGACTTCTATTTTGAACCCATACGCATTTTTCAGTACGTCTACCTCAGAAYCATCTGTATTTTTGCTCTGATTTAAAACGTTGTTGATGGTGAGGATAACATATGCAGACGAGAAAAGACTGCTTGCATTTAGACTGTATTTTGGACTGTAGACTGCTATAGCATTACTGCTGTACATAACCCCTATAGGTGTTGATGATTTGACWAGATCATTCTCAACATACATGTGCCTCGAAACTTTCAGTTGATTGAGGGGGTCTCCTTCGAGGTCTATCGTCCATGTTAGTYTGACATTAGTACTGTTTTCACCAAGTACAACATTTTGGACAGTTCCAGGTACTGTTATGGTCTTCAAACAGTCTGTAAACACACACACGTCACATTATTTTAGAACTTGAATCGAAGCAAGTAGAATACGCTTTAACGGTAGGAACATAMACGATGCAATTTCTATGTATTCACGGTGTACTTACGTAGGGAAACAGAGTGTAAACAAAATATAAGAAGAAAACGTAAAAATTTCATTGAGAATAACGACATTTGCCTCTAAATATCCATGATAATTTAGATAATCGTGTTCTGGAACTGACTGAAATATGTATTTAGCGCCCACCGTAATAGTTTTAAAGCTTAACACTATTGAAACAATCCTGTGTATGGCGTGACAAAGCCGATTTAGTGTAAACAAATTCGATAACCTTTTTTTTTTTTTGTTTGGGTGGGGAGAGTAGGAAGTCGTTTAAGCTTCGTATCGTTAAAGCCATGAGCATTCAATAGCTCAATATCAGCTTGACCCGCTACGTCATAAAAACTTATTTCCTTATCTGAGGAAAGGAAAAGAAATGAAGAGACCAAAACTCTTACCAGGGATTCCATACTTCAAAGTAGACTTCAACTATATATCATTATATCATTTTACAATCTTTATGATTTCATGATCAAATACCTTTCAATCACAAAGTTGTCACTATCGTCGCGTCTTCAGTTGGGGGTCTTGCATCATTTAACATATTGCAATATATCTAAGTTGATCTATCTAAGTTAAGGCAATGGAACGCATTATTTTCACYCCCTTTCACACTGATACTGGAGCTCCTTAAAGGGTACTTGAACTGGAGTTGTTGAAATCCAAATCATGATCATGAGATTCAAGTACAGATAACTGAGWCTGAGCTATAATGGTGGTCGCTCCTTGACAACTAAATACTAGTTTCAAAATGCATGGCTAATCTCAGTCAATGTGAACTTCAGGAGAACCAGTATTGCAGGTCATGTTGGTTGATTATGGACATGTCTGATTATGAACAGGCTCACGGGAAAAGGGGTGGGGAGAGAGAAGAGACTTATTTGTCCTTCKCCTTCATCAAGATTTCAAATAAAACCTTTGACAAGGTAAAAGAAAATCTAGCAAACAATAAACTGAACTTACAATTGATATTTGTGAATTATTCCTTTATTGTTATTAGTATCAATAAGTGATTGTAATCCAAAGTCTACTATACAGCTTGGTGTCAGCATATAATGTTTAATGTATGTGGGTAACAAATATGAATGAATCGTGTTTTAGAAGGCTTATTTTTTTATTTCTTGAGTTTCTTTAACATTATGATATACTGTGTGATTTACTTGATTGTTACAAGACTGCCTTTAAGTATGATGAATTTGTGTAAAAAAACTGTAAAAAGGAATGTGATCAAATTAAATCAGCAAGTGTATCTTTAATACTGGAGTAAGTGTGCTATCAGTAATGATACAGATGTCAGGCCCGTATATCATTTACTCAATTAGTAGTATTTTAAAAAGCACAAAGCAATGCCTCATCAATACTGGTCTCTTTTGCTCCTTATTCACTTAACATTTGCTTAAGCCATCCAGAGACTGGTACTGTGGAGACACACCCTTGCGTTGAATAGCCTGGTACTCTCCTGTACGTGTTGGGCTTCCTGTGGATGACAATACTGTACCCTTAGGGGGCAGCCGTGTGAAAGGACTCAGTGAATCGTAGTTACCAGTACGAGGTTGGATGGTTTGATAGGTGACTGGTGGTGAATTGGAAGAAGCCCCTGTTTGTCCATGCTGATCTGTACTTTCATACTGAGGCATGGGGTTATTCGTCTGTACACCAGAATGTGGTTGACGTGGTCGTGTTCTTGTTGTCACCGCTTCATATTCTGGGATGCCTGCTTTACTCGTCGATAATCCTCGCCTTCCTATTGGTTCATATTCTGGCACGTTTGGTGTTTCGTTATCTGTAGCATTAAAACTTGTCTCTTGAAGTGAGATGTCGTTCTTTGTTCGTAAGGAAGAATAATAGTAATGAATGAATGTACAGACAAGAAACAAATATATAACGCACGAAGAAATGAAATACAACAAAGATAAAATGAATGGATGGGATGGGATGGGATGAGATGAGATGAGATGAGATGAGATGGGATGGGATGGGATGGGATGGGATGGATGGATGGATGGATGGATGGATGGATGGATGGATGGATGGATGGATGTGTGCATACTAATTAATATTTATATTGGAGATGTTGCATGACAAATATTTCATGTTTATAGCTACAGTATATTGTCATTCTTTCAATCTTGAGTCAGATGCCATTCATTGATACTGTTTTTAGGTCTATTTTATGATATGCAAATCAAGCAATGTCTTACAAATTCCTTTTTTTTCCATTTTATTTATTTTTTAATGCTAATGGAAGAAAAAAGGAAAAAAAAAATGCCACGAAATCAGCAAGTTGACTGCAAAATATTTTTATTTTTTAAATGGTATTGGGTATAGCCATAGGCTGGGTGAATGTAAATTCAATTAAATAAAAGTAAATTTCTTCATTTGATCTGTGTTCATTTGGAACAGTTCATCAGATGAGTCACCATCTATAGTATAATTCAAATACAACAATTAATATGATAATTATACAGCTTCTCATTAATCCCATATAGGTAACTGTCCAATTATTTTCTTAATTGGACAGGCCTTGTTGGTATGGGATTAATTAGGCAGCTATATAATTAATAGGTAATGGGATTTCATGCTCCTTTTTTACCCTGCGAGCAAAAATCTCCTTTTAACTCCTTTGCGGGCGAGAGAAGGAAAGGAGACTCTGCAGAAATCGTGAAGAATCATATTTGAGCATGCGCAGCGGTTGCTAAGAAACTAACTCGTTCACAAGCTCACTCGTTTTATAGATGGCTTCAATTTCATCAAGCTTAGCAGCTGGGAGCAGTAAATTTTCACAAGCAGAAATTTTTATAACTACCAAACTTGCTAAAAGTCATGATTTATTGTATTGGATATAAAGATATAGCATGATTGTATTTATAATGATAATTTTCCATGACAAATATTTCATGTTTATGCAGTTTGGTCAATATTATATTTTCATCTTGAGTCAGATGATCTTGTATGGATCCTGCTATGTTTTTTTCATATGCAAATCAAGCAATGTCTTATAACTTCCTGTTTTGTATTTTCCTTCAATTTTTGTTATAAAATGCCTTGCTAGAAAATCAGCTTCCATTTACAAGTTTAAACTGCAAAATATTATTTCCATTTTTTTAAAGAACACATTGGGTATATATTTTATCAACATAGAGTTAATGCTTATAATTTTTGCATAATATGTTTACATGATACTATGAAAAATATCATACGCATGCTTAATTTTCAAAATAATATATGCCAAGGGGTGTTAGGTTGGAATTTGAATGATAAAGAAAGTTATCTGAATCTTGGTCACAGAAATTTATGGTTACTGTAAAATAGGATAGTTAGAATGCCATTCAAATTGACAGATGTCCAAGAGCTACATACTGTAGTTATTTGCTTTTATATTGACTAAAGAGTATAGCAGAGGGCTTAACTCTCTTAAACAAAATTTATATGGGGTTTTTTCACATTTTTGCTGGTTTTTTTGTCCTTTTTATACAAACAGAGTCATAAGAAAAACATTTATATTTAGGGTCAATATCAATATGATAAGGACAAAAAAATATTGCCTGTTAGGAGCCCAGGATATCATTTTTAACTCGTGGATACACGAAGCATAGAAACGAGTTATTTGAGGGGTCTGAATATGCAAATGTGTCACTCGCTCACTCACTCACTCACTCACTAAGATGTTAGCAGATCGATAATTAAACGTATAACGATCGTCTTACGCCATCTGATTACAAATGTTACACGGCACTAACAAGCACATAGCTCTTATTCAGTATAGACTACATGTACTTTTGCTATTTATATGAGGAAATGAACTGTTGATGTTACATGTGGGATACTTTCTAGCACTGTGGACCCACTCTGCACATGCACACACTCGTACTTAGTTTCACCTTCAGATTATTTACATCAAAAGAATCAAGGAAAGATGCAACTTGAAGTAAAATAATATGATTAACGCCTGAAACTAAAATTCCAATGAGTCAAACCTTTTTTGCTGATGCGATAAAGTAAAAAGAAATGCTTTTGTACAATCGTCAACATATTTAGATCCTCTCAGAAGACTCGTACTAGGTAGAGCCGGATGCATAGAAAAAAGAACTTTTCATTAGTAAGATTGATCGAGAAAAAAACGAGAGTCATGGAGTCTTGAAGAAAGTTTGGCTAGTTTTGTCATCCAAATAAGCCTTTCTGAATTAAAAGTAGATTGATCGTCGGACATTACAAACAGCCGAAGCAATGCTCTTGTATCTATACTGCGAAGGTACAAATCTACTCAATAGATGTCGCTGGAGACTAACAAGAATTCGCTCCAATAAATAATTAGTAATTTACAGACTGGAATGAAGTCAAAATAAATAGTATTTCTAAACGAATTTCTTTAAGATATTCGCTCAATTCACAGTGTGATTAAAGTGTTTCATGTGAATCTATATTAAAATCGATTGTAAACGCCGTGATGACCCTTGAAGGTCAAGATAAATAGTAACACATAATGCAACGTTTTTCCAATTCATCACAGAATTCGCTT